CGCCGAGGCCCCGCCCCCGGCCCGGCCCCTGGCGGCGGCGGCGCCGGGCCCGGCGCGCGCACCAAGATGGCGGCGCGGCGGTGGCGGCGCGCCCTGCGCGGGCTCTGCGGGGCCGCGCTGTTCCTGTCGCAGCTCTCCGTCCTCTCCGGCCGCGGTGAGCGCGGACGCCGGGCCGAAACAGGGCGCCGGCGTCGGGAGAAGGGGCAGGGGCTCCGGCTGGGGCCTGGGGTGGGGGGACGGCTGCCCCGAGCTGCGGCGGCTCAGCCAGGGCTGAGCGCGGGTCCGGCCGCGGAGGTGGCGGTGACCGCGGTGGGGTGAGGATGCGCCGCCGCTCTCCTGACCAGGGGCGAAGCGGCTGTTTCGGGCATGGCCGCGTTTCGTTGTGCTGGCTTTGCGGGGTTGGAGCTGAGGTGTTCGGTGTCAGGGCAGAACAAGGGCCAGGCCCCTCTCGCCGGCTCGTGTGCTGCTTTATTACACAGCACCTTTTGTGCCGGCCCTTTTTCGCGAACGTGTGTGACACAAAACGGCCTGGAGCTCCTCGGCACGGCCAGGGTGGGTGGTGTGACAAAGCTGTCCTCCTCCTTCCACCTGTGCCCGGTGGCTGCCGTGAGGGCTCGGCAGGGGCTGGCGCATCCCGAGCCCTCAGGCGGCGCTTCCCGCAGCGACCAGCGCACAGCGCCTGCACCAACACAGCCGTGCCTCTATTCCTTTATTCCAGCTTTCCGACAAGGAACTACTTGCATTGCTTCGTTATATGGTATTGTTCAGTAGAAAACACTGTGTAAATCTGCTTTCTGACCAGTGCTTTTCATTCTCATGAATCAGAAAATAAGACTGAATGGAAATAAATGTAGTTCCTTGTCTTTAAGGAACATGTCAATTCTAATACTTTTCTAATGTTTAACATAAATATCCCACTATTAGTAGAACTGGAGAACTGTTTTTTTTATATATCTCATTACACTTTCTACTTGCATTTTTATATCAGAGTGCTGAAATCAAACTATTTCTGAAGATGAATTTTTTTCTAGATATTTCACTCTCTCCATGTTTTTGTCTTGTAGCGGGATCTTTGATGTCGACAAAGCTTTCACAGCCACAGTCTACACTGGCAAAAAGCCTAACTTCAACAAGTACAAATGCACCCTATTTTAAAGCATTAGGTAAGGTGTTATGTTGTTTATTTTGTTTGTTATCTGTGGGTCCTTCTCAGTCTTGAGGCCAAAAGTTCTTGAATTGGGTCTTAGAAACAGGTACATTATTTCACGGTGGTAAGAAGCATTGCAGTGTTACACATTGAGTTACTCTTAATGACTGTAACAATTACTTTGGGTTATCTAGTTAGACAACTGGTCCATATGAAAACTAGAAAATGGTAGGTTAAAGTACCTTTGTGGTATATGTGGTTTATACCCTTCAGGATGGTGGAAGTTCTTGAAAGACTCCAGCATCCTGCAAGAACTTGCTCTTGTTCCCTGTCTACCATCAGTACAGCTTTGTAGCTCGCTGAGGGTGCATCAGGACTGACAGAAATGCTGTTCTTGCTGGTAGTTTAGGAAGTGATTCTGTACATATACAAACAGCAAATGGCTGAGGTAGATGTAGCCCTAATTAGAGCTCAACTCAAAGTAGGCTACCCGTGTCACCCTGCTGCTATTCCTGAACTGATTATTTCTGCTGAGGAGCGCTGGCTGAGGTGGCACTAATCCGCATAAGCTCAGTCCTGGTGCTGTGCTGAAGTGTTGGCTGGTGTCCTGTGCGGAGCCCTGTGGCTCCTCTGGCCCTCACAGCACAGGCTGGGAATGCTGCTCCATGTAGAGTGCGGAAAGTCCTTTATACAGCATCAGTGCATGTGTTTGTCTATGTATTTGTGTAAAAAAATATATATATATATACTTTAGACTATTTAGCTATTTTTGCTCGGATTCTTAATTCACTTATTGCACCTTTCAGAAAGTACAGAAATTCCACCTTACGTGACTAATTGTCCCAGCAACGGGCTCTGCAGTAGGTTGCCACCAGACTGCATGACATGCAACACAAACTATTCCTGTATATATGGGAAGACAGCAACTTTTGATTGCAAAGTCAAGCCACATGTCCATTGTGTTGTAAGTAACCCGTTACTCTTAACCCCAGATTTAAGTAATTAAACTGTGGCATCTTGTCTTAAATAGAATAGCGATTTCCAGGTTCTGATGTAGGCAGGTTTGCAGTTCTGAGATAAATTTGATCACTCACTGTGGGCTTTTGAAGAGGCAGGCCTGCCCTTCTTCCCTGGTTTGCCTTTCTTGCCTAATGATCTTCTCATTACCTGGCCATGCCTGTGAGTTAAACCACTCCAAACATTTTGAGAGTGGGGAGGCTAAATATCTGTCAGAGCTACAAACTGACCTTAAGGGTGAGACTAAATGAGCGCTCCTTTTGGCAGCAGCCTTAGATTGGAGGAATCGGGAATGTTAAATGTGACTTTGATACCTCTTTGGTGGATTTTTATTCTGCTCTGTAAGAGGTAGCAAACAGAGCAATTGTTCTTTTGCCCAAAATGTCTACTCATGAAATCTAATTTAATACTGCACATTGATTTTTGTTTTAATACTATTGAAGTGATAGTGCTGTCCTTTTACAGGATGAGAATAACCAAGAGCAGGAGAACTTTACAATTAACATGACGTGCCAGTTTTGCTGGCAGCTTGCCACAAGTGATTATGTCTGTACCAATTCCACAAACTGCATGACAGTTTCCTGCCCTCGACAACGATACAATGCAACTTGCACAGTCCGGGATCACATTCATTGTCTAGGTAAGGTGGGCATAGCTGGATTTCTCTAAACAGTTTCTCACATATTTTGTAATGGCTGAATACAAAGATTGTTTATATCCTTTTGCCTGCACCTTGATCAATCTACTGATTTTTTTTATTGTTTAGTTTTTTAGCATTGTAGTGACATCTGACTGCAAACATTGGCTTATTGTTGTATACTGTCACACCAGAGTGCATTCTGGTGAAACAGAGAACACCAGTTCTTTTTATTTTTGTCAATTCCTGTGAGTTAAACTTATTCTCAGACCACTAATAGAATCAATATCAAATGTCTCCATAGGCAAATTAAAGAAAATTATACTGGTTCCATACAATTAGGCTTAATTTTCCCTCTGTTTGTTCACTGACTTTTCTGATATGGGACCAAGAGTGATGGAACAGAGAACTGTAGGGTATAAATGAGAAACAACTGTCAACACAAAAGCTCAGTGTCAACCCTTTTAGATGCCTTTTGGAAAAATATAGTATCTTCTTCCTTGTATTTTTCTTCCTTATTATATGGTCTTGTTTATTTCATTAAGGTTTTAATATTTTCCAATGTTTAGGTAACCGTGTCTTTCCTAAGATGCTCTATTGCAACTGGACTGGAGGTTATAAGTGGTCTACTGCCTTGGCACTAAGGTAAGCAGGATCTATTGGATAAAGTCAAGCTAAAATAGGTTTGTTTTCTTTAAAATCTTCAGATTCTATGTTTTCCTGCTTGGTATTATTTAAAGGTGTGCCGGACAACCAGTATTTCAGATAGTCTAGCTTGAAATGGTGGGCATAGAATGCATAAAGGGTTCACATGCAACAGTGTGGGGCTGTCTTCAGCAAACAGCTGGAGGAAAAACACTTGGGTACCCAAGCTCAGTTCCTCTAACAGTAATGAATCGTATTTTTATTCTTATAGCATCACCCTTGGTGGATTTGGTGCCGATCGTTTCTATTTGGGTCAGTGGCGGGAAGGTCTGGGAAAACTCTTCAGCTTCGGTGGACTTGGAATATGGACACTAATTGATGTGCTGCTAATAGGTGTTGGCTATGTGGGACCTGCAGATGGATCTCTCTATATTTAAATGTGGGTGCAATGTGTTTCAGAGAGGAGTCATTGCCTGCAAAGGGCTCTAAATAAACGAGTGTGGAGGTTTGAGCCTTTAAGGTAGAATGAAGAACAAATGTTTGTTCTATGTGCATATGTTTTAATGTACAGTATCTGTACTTGGTTTGCCTTTAACTAAGGTCAAATAAAAGAGTGGATCACTGAGCAAGTTGAAATTAATTTCATTTCTTCTATGGACATGGTATTTTTCTATGAAAAAAGGTTGAGCAGCTAACCAAATTCTCCACTGTGCTTGAACTTGGATGACCTGTCAGGCCCCCAAAGATCTGCAAACTAACTTGAATATTGAATTGTTTACTTCATATTTCTATGCTTGAATTTAACTCTAAAGCTAAGTTCCCTAAATATGTCAGTATTCTTTTTTTTGTATTTGTGGGAGGATAATTTATTTGCCTGAGTTATGTATGTAAATTGCCATATTTTATTATGTTAATTACATTAACTTCTTGGTTTGGGATATAGCAAGAGCCAATATCTGCTTAGAGAATCGACTTTAAGTTGTGGGGGGTTTAGAATTAGCCTGCAGTAACACTAAAGGCTAAATATGAAATAATTGAAGTAGTTTTTTTTATTGTCCTGAAATAATTTTGTTTTGGTTGGGTTTGACTTGCATATCAATGAAAGTTAGTTACAGTTCCTATTCTTGTGCTAGCAAGCTTGCCAAACTACTTTTAGAAAGGGTTGGCAATATAATCGATGAGTTTATCCACTTAGGCCTCTGTGACGCGGTAATGTAGCGGGCTAGTGCCATGACAGGACAGCAGCTTTGTGTAGCCGCGGTAAACGCGCGGCCGTGCGTGCGCGCCCCTCGCCCGGGGCTGGGGCGGCCGCTGCTGTAGCACTGCGGTGCCGTCGGGCTGGAAGTGCTATCGCTTGAATAAACTGCGCCTTGAAGCTTTGCTGGCCTGAATTCTGACGGTGTTTGTCGTGGCCTCGGCTCGGTCCCGCCGCAGCGACGCGGCCGGAGCGGCGGGCGCGGCCCCGCGCTCCGCTGGTGCCGGGGGCGGGCCCGGGGCCGGGCCGGGGCGGTGCCGCCGCTGAGCCCGGCTCGTCCCGCCCCCGCCGGCACAGGAGCCACCATGGCGGAGGAGCGGGACCGCGAGCGAGACCTGCGCTTCTACCGACGGCTGCCCAAAGCGGTGAGCGGCGGGGGGCGGCGGGCACGGACCCTCCTCCGGCGGCACCGCGCTCGGGCTGCGGACGGAGAGACAGACAGAGCGACACACGCTGCTGCTGTCCCGGAGTTCTTCACAAACGCGCGTTTTCTGAGGGCCTTACCCCACCGCAAAATGCACTCGGCTGTTCGTCTGTCCGGTTTGTTTACAGACCTTAGTGATCTAAGTAATCTAATTGCAATTAAATCAACTGAGCACGATCTCAATTTTCTCTTTTTGTCCTATTTCCCCTCAGTCTAGCCGAGAAGTCTGGCTCAGATAAGTCTTTTTCTCTTTGCCAAGGGTGTGCCTTACTTCTGGCATATCAGTGCAAGCCTTCCGTAGGGGTGCGTGCGGATTTATCGGGGTTCGTGTGCCGCACTCTGACCAAAGCCCGAGGACACGTACTGCAGCACAGAGCTTCGTACAGGCAGTGCAGGGGGACCCCAGCAAACCCACCTCAGACCACGCCATCCTTGCATTCCAGTGTTCCTTTTCACCGAGTTGCTTTTCAGGGTGTATGTTTAATATCTGACAGAATTCTGGGAGCTAATTGTACACTTGTGAAAAATATGAGAGTTGTAGCACTGTATGTATGGCTCAGTCACCAGAACCTGTAAGCAGCCACAGCTTCTAGTGCTTAGTTGGAGTTACAATTTCAGCATGTTTTCCAATGTAAATCTTGAAGAGAAGCATTTATTGAATTTTTCTTTTCCTATTGAGAATGGATGTGTGCAGGGAGATGAGAGGTAGGTAACAAAGTAGATGCTTTGGAGATACATTTTGAATGAGGTGGGAGGGCACTGGAGACCTATTTGATAAATCAAGACCCAGGAGGCAAGAAGGAACAAAGGTGAAGTGAGGAATGGAGCTGAGGACCACAGGTTTGGAGTCTGAAGTTAGAATGTCAGTCGGAAGTCAGGCAGGAAGAGGCCTTGGGCAAAAAGGAGTGCAGTTAGTGCAGTTTCTGTTCATGGCGGAGTCTTGCTGCATTTCTGGTGTGAGTTTAAACTTCAGAGTATGAACAAAAGGAAGGGGAGTGGGTAAGACACCTGTTGCTATTTTTGAATGATGGATATGTACATTTAACTTGCAATGGATGGGGAGAGTTCTTGAATCTTACTATACTTTTTGTAATACTGAGGTGGCTGCTGGCTTCCTCCTCACCTTGGATGACACCACCCCAAGAACTGTGTGGAGAGCTCTTTGCTGAGCCAGCTGTGCTCCCACTGAGACCAGTGCCAACAGCAGCCACCAAGTGAGAGGAAAGAAATAGGGCTGTTCTCAGCTGAACCAGTGCCTTCAAAAACCTAAGGAAGTTACTATTAGCCAAAATGCACAAATGTTCTTTTCAAACTCTGAGTGAAACACTGATGTAGGATATGAGAACAGTAGTACAAACAAGGTGCAGAAACCATCCTTTTCATAAGTCCATAGTGTCACCCTGAAGATTAGGCCTTCTGATAATGTTTGTATAGTTTTAGTTACTTTCCCATGAAAGTTCTATAAACATAAGTTGTTTATCACATTCCTTCTAAGAAATGTCTTCTGATGGATGTTTCACATGACCAATGTGCTTGGGAAGGTGGTAACTTAATTATCCAATCCCTGGTCATTGTTGAGAATATAAATATTGGAATCAGAGAAAAAAGGGGGCTTTTCTGTTCTGACACTGAGAGTGCTTGTGTGAATAATTTTGTGTCCTTTAGTGACACCATAGGATTTTTATTTCTGTAGGAACTTCATGCTCATTTGAATGGCTGTATCAGTTCTGCTACTATGAAGAAACTCATGGCTCAGAAGCCAAACCTTCAGATCCAGAATGGAATGACTGTAATTGACAAAGGAAAGAAAAGAACATTAGATGAGTGAGTATGTGCATGTGTGTGATGAGCATTTACCAAAGGTTTTTTAATTAAGTTAAAACCAGGAATGTGTGCCCTTACACAATAAATGCAGAAAATATGTTTTTAAGTTTTACAGCATAATCTCAGATTTTTTTTTGTTATTTGTATCTACAGAGTGATTTCTTAGGTGCTTGCAAGCTAGGAGGAAAACTTGTTGATTAATTCCTTCTTTAAAGGATTGAAATTTTTCACTGAGATCATATGCTTTTCAGAAAAAATTGACTTGTTGAAATTGAAAATTGAATAGTTTCTTTTTTTGGAAACTTCATGTTTTCCTTTTCCTTCAAAAGGCTTTGTGATTGTAACAATTTCTGTTGCAAATGCTTTGTTAGTATCTAAAATCAAATACTGCTGTTCAGATGGTTCTTTGTATTTCAAGCTACAATCTGGTGAGTTGACTCTAGTGGGTAGGTGTTTTTAAAATGTAGATTTATTTTTTTTCCTAAATACTCATTCAGTGTCTTTCCAATTAATTTTTTAAAATTTTATTTCAGATGTTTTCAGATGTTTCAGATCATCTATCAGGTTACCACGAGGACTGAAGATATTTTGCTGGTAAATTAATTAAAAGTTCACTTAAGCAAGCAGTACACACAGTCACAATCAGTTGGATTAAGAGCCTTGGGTTCCAAGTAACAATATCAACAATGGTCCCTTTCAATTGAAGGTCAGAATAATTATTGTAAAAGACCTGAACTCTCTTCACTATCCCTGAAGGAATCAAAGGCTCCTTCTGTGTGGCAGTATTTCACTAAAAACATATTGGGCCTGAAGACATTGCAAGTTTTTCACAACAAAAAATAACTGAGTCTTTTAGTTGTGAAGGAAAATATAAGTATCACTTTTATGATGTTGAATACACTTTTACTTAATCAGATAACTAAAGATGTCATTAAAGAATTTGCTGATGATGGTGTCAAGTATCTGGAACTGAGAAGCACTCCAAGAGAAGAAAATTCCACAGGTACAGTCTTTTCTGGTTTTTAATTTGTGATCATCTTGCAATGTAAAACTTAGTTAAAGAGTATGGTAATAACAAGAAAAGTCAAATTTAGTTGGCTCAATAAAAATATTCTTTAAATATGAAAGCTAGATTTAACCATGTCATTTTGCTATTAGATTTTTGAGGACAAAAATGTGTTGGTCATGAATCTATGATACATGAAATTGGGTTATTCACTTGAGTATGGCATCTGAGTCTGCTAATATTTTTAGTAGCTAGCTGATATATTTTACTTTTGTTATTTTGTTTTTTTTCTTCTAGGTGTGATTTAGTAGAAACACGTAATGGAAGTCCTATTCCGATTCTCTCATTCACACAAAGTCATTTAATTTTTCCACATCCTTAGGAGGAGGTTTAGTTCAAATGTGTGGTTCACAGTAAAGCTATATTTACAGATAGAATTAGAATTACATGGGTTAGAAGACTATATGGTCTAAAATCAAAGGTGCAACACGAAACCTAGGAGACTAGAGAGCTGGGTCTGCAATATAATAAAAATAATTTGAAATATGTTTGTTCCAAATGTGTGCATGTGTTGCAGGTATGACCAAAAGGATGTATGTTGAAACCGTACTTGAGGGGATAAAGCAGTGTCAAGAAGAAGGCTTGGATATAGATGTAAGGTAAATAAAGCATATGGAATATCTCTGTTTCAAGGTTTTGTGTAGTCTGATACTTGGTCATGTTTGCAGACAGGTTAACAAGCCATCAGTTTAGGAATGAAAATTGTTTTTAAACTAGACTACATGGAGTGGAAACAGGTAATTCATATAGAAACTTCACTTTTTATCTTCTTTTTTACTGCTAAAGAAAAGCGGGTAAAACCTCTCATCTCTAAGACTGTCCATTCTTTGCAACATTTTCAGGAAAAGAGGTGTTTTTCGTGGAATTGGCTCCTTTTTCACAGCTTAGCTTAGTTGCAAAGATTTTGTTTGGTTAACTCTACAAGCAGCCTGCTGTAAAGAAGAGCTGGTCCTGACCAGCAGAAAAGTTTCAGAAGGTGTCAGTGGTTGTTTGGAGACAGTTTGCTCTCCTGTCTTTTATAGCCCCAGTAGCAAGCCTTACTAGATTTATTGGTGAAAGCTGAAGAATTTTCATCCTTCATGTGTGGTATTGCTTGTCATGAGCCAGCTTATTTATCTGTTTGTGTCCCTCTGCACTTTGGTGCATTCATCCCTAGAACAGTTTCCTGTACAATATTCTTTATGCTCAGCCATGAAGGATATGAAGTGCCATTTTTTTATTGGTATCAGATCTGTTGAGCTGCTGATATTACAGCTTGGATATAATTTAATAATAATTTAATTTAATAATTTAATATATTTCTGTCCCAGGCTGTTAATAGCAATAAACAGAAGACATGGCCCAGCAGTTGCTAAGCAGACTGTTAAACTTGCTGAAGAGTTCCTGCTTTCCAGTGATGGGGTTGTAGTAGGACTTGACCTCAGTGGTGATCCCACTGTAAGTTTTTGGTTTATTTTATTCTGGTCTTGAAGATAAATGTATAATGTTGTACAACAGCAGGTGCTTCTAATCATAGCTTTTACTCACAAGTTTTTGTCCAATTTTTGTGCCTAGCTGGAATGGATTGATATTGGGTTAATTTTATTGCTGCTATAAGAGGCAGATAGTCTAACAAAGAATCCTTAGATTAGTATGTGACTGAGAAAAGAACCATTGAAAAGCAGTGTTTATCTGGGAAGTGTCTATACCTGAGTTGTCCCAGATTAAGTGTGTGAAGGCAAGTTGTCAGTAGTTTAAATTTTGTTTGGCTACACCAAATCCTATTTTGAATTAATAAAGCAAAAATATTCAAAGGCAGCTGTCAAGCTGAAGTGAAATATCTCTAGGTGGTAGCTGTGTAAAAGGTATCAAAACCAAGGAAATTAGTTTGTAAGTCTTAGGCATCATCTGAGCTACTGGTGTTTGATTCATTCCTTTAAACCAAATGGCAGAGGGTTTGATTTGCTGCATTCCAAACTGAAGTAATGGGAAAAGTAGAATAATTAAATGTAACTGTATTTGAATGTAGTGTTTGGCTATTGCTAGACTTCTTAATTATGGTAATGACAGGGATTTTGTCAAATAAGCTGTAGAATAGTGATGTGTCCCTGTTTTCCAGGCAGGACATGGTCAAGATTTTTTGGAACCTCTCTCAGAAGCAAAAAAAGCAGGTCTAAAGCTGGCACTCCATCTTTCTGAGGTAAAAGGATTTTCTGTTTTGGTGCTTCTCTGCAATTGTCATTGTGTGAAAATCTTGACAAAACTGAGATTACCTTCCGTGCATTTTGATCTTCTCAGGCCAAAGTATTAATGGTTTGGGGCATTTGACAACAGACAGCAAAAGAAGGAGAAATCTTCAACCTTTTGTTCTAAGTCTGAACAGCCAGATTATTGCTTTCTGTGCTATATCTATTGTGGGTTTAGGTGTGAAAATGAAATTAGGAGCTTTCTAAGAGATTCACTTCTTTCTTCCTGGTATTACCATGGTAGTGAAATCCACACAGTTTCAGGAGCAGTGAGCTCTATTAGTTCCACTGGTATCAGTACAAAGAATTGGGCTTCTGCTCAAATGATGGCTCTGAGAAGTCCAATAAATACTGAAGATAATTATTTTTTCAGTAAATTAAACAGGACATATGATGTCATCAGCATGTTTATATTTGTTTCTATTTCACTAACACTTTCTTTCAGATAAGAGATGCTGTGAAAGTGGAACTGAAAGTCCACTGTAATTAAATAATGTGCTGTTTTATGCTGCCTTGACAGAATGTGAAATATATCCTCTCTAGATTCCAAATCAAGAGGAGGAGACCAAGATTCTCCTGGGCCTGCCTCCTGACAGAATTGGACATGGAACATTTCTCAACTCCACAGCAGCAGGTTCTGAAGAGATAGTATCACTGGTACACCAGAATCATATACCTATTGGTAAGGAAAAAAATATTTACCATGACTTGACCTTCGGATATCAGAACAGGATATGTACTGCTGATATAGTGACACCACCAGAGGTGACTTGGACAAACGTGGCAATGAGACTTGCCCATAAAGCTACACTCATGACACTTGTGGGTTTTTTTGGCTCCTCTGTGGAAGCAGACAACAGCTGATGTCTCAGATAGAAGCAAAACCAAATCATAATTTGTCATTACTATACAAGACTGTGTGGTGGTTCTGTACCTGCTTTGCAAGCTCCCTAAGTTTTTATACCCCAAAGAAATTGATTAGGAAACTTTTCTCAAAAGAAATTACCAAAGAAGCATGGAAAATTAAGGAAACAACAGTAGCTGATTTTAATTTTTATTCAGGACCTTTCTAAGTCAATTAACATGTCTCTTGTTTTGATATATGTCCCCATTTCTTTTTCTGTTTTTCCCTTTAGAATTTTGCATGACATCAAACATAAAATCTCAGACAGTGCCTTCCTGTGACAAACACCATTTTGGGTACTGGTACAGCATGGGCCATCCTGCAGTGCTTTGTGTAAGTTTTTTGATTTTTAAGCATTTATTTAGGCAAAGGGCTAAAATTGTGAAGTTAGAGAAGTCTTTCTCTGTTCATGGATCAGAACTGACTTAAAATTTTTGACCTTGTAGCAAATAATTTGCTTTTAGGAAATCAATGTTCTGTTTGAGAAATGCTTTTAATTCAAGTGGGAATTGCTAGTATTTATCTTGGTTCTATTGTAAAGCCAGGCCTTTTTTCTGTGGGATAAGATGATCAGCTATGCAAGCAGTGAATTAATAACTCTTTGCACAATGACAGATTTCTCTTAAAACCCATGGCTCCGGTGCTTGCATATGCACCTGTGCTTACCTGGGTGTTCATTGTGTTGGGTGAGAGCTCCTGCCTTCTCTTGATAACTCATTGAGGTCTTTAAGCATTCAAGGTGCTGAGTACTTGTGCTGCCACTGACAAGGTTTCACTATTATCCTGTTAGTTTAACCCCCATAATCCATAGCATTGTCCAAGTGTGTGTGTATATATAAACATATATTTAGTAGCACTGTGCTTGTCTGGGAAAAGGGAAATGAGGAATAAGGAGACCTGCACGTACTGACATACCTTGAATATATGCAGCATTTGATAGCCATCTTTCTGGGAATTTTAGTAGGAAATCCTGTTTTCTTGATAAATCGTGCCATCATTTTAAGAAGTTTTCTTATATGTTTGAATAATTTACTAATTTTTAGTGACAATAGGGCAAATAGAGAATGAAATAACCCCGCACAGATGAAAGAACAGTGGAATAAAATGGGAAACAGCAAGATAAACCTGGTTTGTACATACAGGAAAAAATCTTTTTGATATAGAGGAACTAATTTAAACTTTTTTCTTCCCTTTCAATTTAACTCCAGACTGATGATAAAGGCGTCTTTGCAACTGATCTATCGCAAGAATATGAGCTGGTTGCAAAAACATTTAATCTGACTCGATCACAGATGTGGGATCTTTCCTATGACTCAATCAACTATATTTTTGCTTCAAATGCAGTAAAATCCAAGCTAAGGGAACAATGGTGTAAGCTGAAGCCAGCTCTGTTTGATTAATCAAACTGTTGTCCTAAATAGCTTAGGTGTATTAGCTGACTTAATAAGCTTTTTATATTGAAGTCCCCAGCCTTTTTCAGACCTCAGGGTTTTAAACCCAGCCGTAAACTGCCTGTGCATAATGAAGGCAACTGGAATGGGTCCCTTGTTACTGGGGACAGAAGTAAATCTTCTTTTGGTAGTTGGGAAGGGCTTCTCAGCCAGTGACTAAAATGCCAAATGTGTTGTCACCTTGTTTCTTTTGAGCTGATATGACATTTTAAAAAACACTTAGTTGAAATATGTCATCATAATATGAACATTTGAGAGCTGCAACAAAATGAAGGCAGAGCTATTAATGTCTAAAACATCTCTGTTGGCAGCATTCCACCAAGCTGTTTGAATGTGTGGTGTGTATTTTTGGGGTTTGTATTGTTTTCAGGTTTTGAGCTGTTGATTGGATGTGAAGACAGAGACAAACTCAGGGAGAGCAAAATATTTATTCCAAGGAATTAATATTATATCTGTTTTTATTGCTGTACATGTATGACTGAAGCTGCAGTGATGGAATAGCATGTGGGGGTCTGCTGGTGCCCTAGGCACTGCTGGTGTGTAGGCACTTAAGAATCTTGAATACCTTCAGTAAGTGAGCTACTTGGCAAAGTGGTCTCATTCTTAAAATGCTTTTTAGAATTGCTGTTTGTTGTGTAAAAAAAGAATAAAAATCTCCATGTTTTTGAAACCACCACTGCAAGGTGTGCATGTGCATGTTTGAGCTCTGCAGAAGAGAAGCAGGATTCTGTGGGGTGAGTCCCTGGAGCAATCGTGCTGTCTGCCAGCCTCTCCCCTGCTGCTCTGGCAGCCACAGGGTTCTCTGTACCCTCTCCAAGCACCTGCCTGTGAGTTCTGGTGCTGAGAGCTCACAAAGTCTGTCAATGTGCACATGCTGCAGTTTGTGTAACACGAGTTGGGAGGTCACCTGGAGTATTCCATTTGTGTGCAGTAAAAGAACCAGGAATGTACGTGAGGGGCTGAGGAGCAACGCACGGAACTGGGATTTCTCTTTATAAGAGTCTGTGAGTTACTGCTGTTATTTACACAGCAGAAATGTTACACTTAGGAAATTGGACGGGATGTGGACTTTTGGAATGAAGAATCACCATCTGATGAGACCTTTGTCATGCACAGTTCCCAAGCTGACCGTTGCAACTTGAAACACTTTTACTAGCTAGTTTAACTTTTATAAGTAAAACTGCTGTTTCCTTCTTTGACTGCATGTAGCATTATAGTTAGTTTTAATTTAAGCACTTCTTGCTGAGCCTGCTTGTCAAATTCTGAGTTAGTGGTGACATAATCGCTGTTTAGTTTATAATATTGTATAAAAGTGATTGTGACACAGAGTGAAGCATCACCACAGAATTGATCATAAGAAATGGGGCAGAGAAGATTTTTTTCCTGAATGCAATGGAAATTTTGAGTAACTGCTACTAGAATTCATGTGGTATAAGATGAAATTTAAGTTATCTATTCATGTGCAGCTCAACTTATTTTTAAAGTAAACAAAATAGATCTAGAGTTAATATTTTTATTTCCATCTGATTATACAAGAGAGCACTTACAGAGCAGTATCCAGTACTCAGAGTCTTTACTCATGGAAATGCACACTGGTACTATTGAATACTGCTTTGGTGATGTATGTGAGAACAACTGCTCACTGTGGCATTGGTTTCTCAGTTCCTTCTGAGGCAAACACAGGAAGTCTTCAAAACCTCAGCTCCTTATGATGAGACTAACATTCCATAGCTTTTCATAATACAACCACTAAACCGTACATAAGTACATACTGCTCCTCAGGATCCTAGCTTGGCAAATAATTACTTTTAGTAAGTACTGTAAAGTACTTACATCAATGATTTATATGCCTGCTTGAATATTCAGGTGTTTCAAAATAATCCATTAAAAAGAATGGATGCAGGTAAGGGTCCTGCATTAGCTAAGCAATTCAGCTGGTTAAAAGGCTGGCATGTCCCTCCTGTGAGGCCTAGAGAGCAGGCGCTGGCTAGATTGGAATGGAGAGGGCTCTGGGGGAGGATCTAATCAAGGTTTTTAATATCTGATGAGAAGGAGTGAAGAAGATGGAGCCAGGCACTTCTCAGCAATACCCAGTAACAGGAAAGGGGCACAGACTGGTTCTGTGTGGGTGGTTGAATATGGGAGCACCTCACCCAGACAGTCTGGGGATTCTGTCCTTGTAGATACTCAAACCTATCAGTGACTTGTAGCTTCAGCAAAGGAGGTGGACTGGGAAATCTCCAGAGATGCCTTCCAACCTCATCTGTTCTGTGAAGGAAATAAACAAATATACAAATGATAAAGTCTGTATAAATACAAAAGCTTTTAAAATTAAATACTGACTTAACTGAGTCACTCAAGTGACAATTTTTCGTCAGGCTTGGTTACCAGCAGTTGGCTGCTTTGTGAAACTGTTTATAAAGAATAGTCTATTCACCCTTCATAGCCTTCCTTCTTTCACAGCCATTGTGGAATCCTTTGGTGCCATCAGGACCTTTAGGCAGCCGCAGCACCCTTACAGGGAGACCATCTGCATTTTGTATTTTCCGAACCAACATGGGACTGCTGACAGGACTCTTCTCTTGTGTCAGAGTTTGGGCTTTCCTTCTCTGCACCCAGGGGCTCCCAGAAGGAGTGATGCTGCTATCTGAGGAATAATCAGTGTATTTCCTTGGAATTTCAGGGCTAGTGCTTGGGTTAAGCTTGCTGTCTTCAGCCAGTGGAGATTTTTTGGTTACTTTTCTTAGTGAAGATGGACTGTTCCAAGGACTTGATCTGGGTGACATATTAGGGCTCAAATGGTTGTTTGGGTGGATGACAGGGCTCAAATTACTCGTAGTATTTGACGTGGTACGTTTGCGTCCTGACAGCGGTGACGTAGGATTGCTCTCTGGGTCAGAAGAGCTGTTTGCTGAAGATTCATCACCAGCAAACTGAAGTTCCTCAACTCTCTTGTTAAGGGATCGAGTCTTCTTAAGGCTCTTGCTGGTATCTTCATCACGGTTCTTGTCTTTGGGAACTTTTTTCTTTGGTGGTTTCATGCCTATTAGGACAACTTTCATGCCGGTCTCTTTGTTTCCAGCACACATGAAATCATGAGCACGTACGGCAGCTTCTACTTCTTCAAATTCTATAATTGCACATTCCTGGGTTCCCAGCTGGGTGTACCGATTGCTGACCCTCCTGATATCAGGTGGGAGATCCCTGCCAGGCTTGAGAATGCGAACTGATGAAATTACACCAAAAGTTACAAAGGCTTTGAGGAGATGCTCCATTATCCTTTCTTGCATGCATCCATTTTCTTCTTTGTTAAGGACCTGCAGCTGAGAAATCATGTGGATATCATACACCAGTAGCATCCTTGTAGGGACATTTTCACTTGGAAACACTGGAACTGGAGTATTTCTTCGAACCTTTTTGTTATCATCATTGAGCTCCAGAGTGTTCGAATATTTCAGTGCATAGGCTGTGGTCCTCCAGTCACGGGTAAGGTGTTTCACCTTTGGGACAGACACAGGTTAAGCACTATAACTGAGCAAACCCAATCAAACTAAGCACTGAATTTTAAAGCAGATGCAGGCTTCAGTCTACAAACAGAACCCTGGATTTAAGTTTCATGTAGCAGACTTAGTGAGAAAATAAAGTTTTCATGCTATGACGGGCATCAGTGAGCTCCTCTAAAGCTCATATCCTGTTGAATCTAATGAAAACAGGAACTGGCACTAAAGCTCAAACTGGAAATCATTACTACATCTGAAAGCCTGCTCAAGTAGTGCTTGGTCATTCCACATCATCTAGTCATCTTGGCCTGAACCATGATCAAAATGCATGTTCTAGGGAGGTTACATTTGCCAAATAAAAAGTTTTGTTAAGTTTAGGTCTTCATTGTATTGACCTGATCTTTCCTCCCTCAAAAATCTAAGTCTAAAAAACACCCCAGACTTTTCCATTTTCATTAAATGTTTGTAAAGAGTTTATCTGTCACCAATATAATCTGTTTGAAGTGGTCTGAAGAAATTGAGACTGCCTTAACTTCTAGACAGAATAACTCTGTAGAACAATGAGATTTAGAATCTTGACAAAGTGCTTCTTGTGTAATTCTAGAAATCAGTTACATACAGATTTACATAGGTCTTTCTAATGTAAGGAGAAAAAAAAGAAAAAATAATAAAACTCTCTTCATGTTTAGGGGACTTTGGTTACCAGCTGCTTTATACTACGTTTAATTTTTGGTTCTCCGTCCAAAAGTCAGATTCACTGTTCCTTCTCAGAGACAGGAATGTAACTTTACCAGGACTACCCAGCTGTTCACAAGTAGTTGCCATGGATATTAATTTTATCTAATGTCCTCCTGTGTCCAAGGATGATAATTTAAAAGCATACAGGCTTTTAAGCCAATGATTTCCTTAGCCAGTCATCAGTGAGTTCAGCAGTTAAAGTTTTGGATGAGTAGCAAATCATAGCAAAACCAGGCAGATAAAGACTATAAAGGTGCCTGTAGAAGATGTTACTTTAATCTCTTCTACTGTTTTTAGAGTCATCAGACTTGCATGAGACCCTTCAAGTCTTAAAAAGTTACCTTACCTTCTTAAATGAAGTGAGGAGTTTAACACTGACATAGCCCATCTTATTTCTTCTTATGTGCTTCAGAAGGAAGGCATCTTTCTCAAGGTTCTCATCAGAGAAGTAATATTCAATCTGTGCTATTAACTTCTGGATCAGGTCATTTTCTGGTGGTTTCCAGTTCTGGTTAGAGTCATCATCATTTTCTCCACCACTGGAAAACAGTTAAATCATTTTATCAGCAGATTTTCATCTTCTATTAGTGGATTCAAATAGCTTTTCAAAATGAAAGGGCCATAACCATTGTGCTGGTTCCAACTGACTTTAGATGTGGGCACTGGACAGGTATCCCCACCCAGCTGAGCCAGTAGCTCAGAGGATGAAGATTTCCAGTCAGCATAAGGAGTCAAGTTCCTGAGTTCATTCCAAAAACTGATCTCAGTGCAGAACAATGAGACATCTACACTAATGGCTTGAAAGCATGGCCAACTCAAATCATTCACCAAAATATGAAATGAAGGTGCACTG